AGTAGTAGTAGTAGTAGTAGTAGTAGTAGTAGTAGTAGTAGTACGGACCTTTGGTACCAGGTGTGGGAGAGGATCCCAGAGTGGCAGAGCTGGACAATTGCAGAGATTGGACTATAGGCGAGCCACGACCCATGTGCGAGACTGCAATACGGAAGGTCTGCAGTGTGAGCTGCTGCCCTCAGTCTGGATACCCTTCCATGTTTACATGCAGGCGCGAGGTCAATACGAGACACCTCATCTCAATGACTGTCTCTATCTTCAAATGTGTGGTTTCACCTCTATCGGTGGGCTGCAGGCGTGAGTGGACATGCACAACCATTATCAGGGCCATTCTAAGAGCCACGCAGGTACTCAGGCATTCACTCGTTATTCCTCATGAGTAACCAACTTCATCGCATCGAAGGGCTAGATTGTCTCTGCCGTTTAAGGATGCTTTACCTCAACAGCAATGGACTCACTCATATCGAAGGCCTTCAGCACTGCAAAAACTTGGAGTATTTAAATATCGTGAGATCTGTGCAGGAGGCGAACCAAGAATGGTATAGATTTCAGAGCAACAACCGTATTCGTACTGTGATGAACCTCGAAGAGCTCACCAGTTTGAAGACTCTCATCGTCGCCAACAATCATATATGCAACATTGCATCTGACCTCAGCCCTGGAATTTCGCAAGTGATGATGATTATGATGGTACTTTGAGATTCAGCATGCATGGTGGGTCAGATACCATGGCTCCTGAGCCTTGATGTAAGCTACAATCTGTTGGAGGCATCACCCACAGAGGGAACGGAGAACGGAACGGAGTTGATCAGTTTTCTGCAGAGTTGTTGTCCGAAACTGAACGACTTCTATGCATACGGTGAGTCGGCCAATGTTCTCCTCTGACGAGCTCATCAAGGAATCCTTACGTTCGTCAAATGCGGCACTATAGACGTCGGGTCATCGCAGCTGTACCTTCCCTCACATACATCGATAAGAGTCCTGTCAGTAGAGAGGAGAGGGCGGGCGCTGAAGCCTTCGTGAAGGGTGGGACCAACGCAGAGATCAGTGCCAGAAAAGCGTATTGATATATCCTCGTTAGAGTTGGACCATCGATTGTAGATACTTGGAGGAGAAA